CAACTAAGTAATTCAAAAATACTACATTAACCTGACCTCACTTGGCATCTGGAAGTGAGGGCTGAGTGAGCCACACTATTCACTGGTGTTGAAAGGACTGCACTTCATTTCCTGTCAAACATTTCTTCTAAAAAGGTCAGAGACCACAGGGCATATGGACAGTGTGAATCTTGCTCTCATCTGATCAAGCGCAGTTCCTATTTTACTGAGGAACTAACATTTAATGTAGTAATTCACAGGCTATTCTGACAGTGACAGTCAGCATCTTTGACCGGACAAATTTTCACCTCAGCACTTTGGTCTAGAAATGACCTTAGTCAGCCTTATGTGTTTGTGTGTATGGTATTAACAAAAGCTGAGAAAAACAAACAGCAGTTTGTGCTAGTTAACAGCCTGCAAGGTCTGTAGATGCTCAAAAGGTGCAATAATTCAGATGTGATGAGACTAACATCATGTCAGATAATCCTTCCGCAATTTAACGCAGATCGAAATTTTGAAATGTTTCTAAGGTGATTAAAAACAGACTGTTGAGATCTAGTTGCAACAGGCTTTACTTTGAGAATCAGTTTGTTTTTATTTTAATCAGACTCAAAATTCTGTGGGGAACTAAGCAAACTAAGCTCAGTAGACATAGCTAGAAAATACAACTGTGTGTCAATGAATGGAAAACAATGCTGTGTTAATACACACAGGACCCACAGCTGTAAATACACACGCAAAACTTTCTACGTGGCATGTGCATGGAAATCTGAGACACGAGTAGTCCAGTGTAAGTAATAAGCCATAGTGCTTATAAATACAATCTGATCAAACCCAATGGAAGGCATCATGAGAAACAGGGAAATAAAAGTTCTGTGGATATATAGTTACCATCTGTCAGCCATCTATCATATGCATAAATAAGGCGTTATAATGTATATTGTACACCTGGGCATCATAAAAACACAACAAAACACCAGTTTCCAAGCGATACTTACATTCTGTCAATTATTTCAAAGTTTATAACCAAACAGCCAACAAAGACAGCTTTAGTATTGGTCTCTGTGGGGCTAGACCATCTTTCACTGTATTTCATCCTGGCACTTAGGTCCTCTGAAGGTCCCACGTTCATACCAGATTTGCCTGCTATCCTAACTTCGACAGAAACAAGGCTGACCCTTGAATGCTCGAATAATTGGCTTGGTTGGAGTTTGGAGTTGCTGCATTAAATGTTTTCCACTTCTGACGGAGGCTGCTTGCTTCCTATGTGCTTCACTAGACTAAACATGGCTATCTGTGTTCTGCATGAAGAAAGATAACACCGATAATGAACTTTTTATCTGACTGTCAATAAGACAGCAAACTACCACATTTTCAAAAACGGTGATGTGCTCCTTTAACACTGAAATCAGCAGTTTTCACCTGAGCTCACATACTTTTACAGAAAACTGGAGGTTCTTCCTACATTCAGTCAGTCAGTGTAAGTGTTAATTTCTTTCATTTTCAGCAGCTTCCAGTGACATTTTAATTTTCTCTCTCCCTCTCTGTTGATCTATCCCTCCCTCCATCCTTCTCTGTGCTCCCTCTCTCCCACTCAGAAAACTGCCAATAACAGGGTCTCTGTGCTGCCTGCACAATGGGCTGGTCTGTCGCCGAGTCTGTTGCCTAGACGAAAACACACACACGCATGCGTGTGCGCACACAACCACGAAAGGAAGGAAGCGCCTGTTGGGTTCCCACTGGTTGAGTGTGGTCTCAGTGCTCATCGAATAATAGTGGGTATAAAGGTGATGCTG